CAGTTTTTCACAGTGGCTTCACCAATTTAAATTCCCACCAACATTGTACAAGGGTATTGAACTGATTTTCTAAATAAAAGCTGACTAAGTATTTTTACTAAATCCGCTATATGTTCTGGCATCATATAGAAACATCTAGAATTATTTTTAAATGTCATCAAATTAATAAAATAGGCTACTTTTTAGTCATATGGTACCCGTCTTTCTATGTTTCCCAACTGGAAGAAGAATGGACCCTATATATGGCTTTCTCCTTGACTTCATATGATTTAACCAAAACAATATACTTCCTTTATAACTTACCATGATATTGTGGTAAGTGTAAATATGTATCAGTTTAGCAGCTGTACTAGCTGTTGTCCTGTCTAGCAAAATCAGCTCTGAGTTATCTGAGCCCCTGAAAAGGAGTGTGATGCAAATTTAAGAGTGATTTGCCTGCCAGGGAAGGGTAGGATTAAAGTCCTGTTTTACATGACAAGGAATTCAGCTTAGAAGAATTGAACCATACCTCTCCCTTGTCATTGTGTGTCAAGTAAATCCAAAGAGATAGAAAAGAATTGATAAGTAGTTAATTCTCTTTGAGATAAAAGTATCAGAAAAAAAGAAAACTGAGCTAGCTCCAGCATAATTGGGGGCTATATTGTCACAGGATGTTCCGCAAAACCTGATGTGGATCAATGTAGTCAGGACTCAGAAACCAGAAAGCTCCCACTGATACATATTCATTCATTCATTCATTCATTCATTTCCACCTTTTGGTGGAAGGACCCTCTCTGCCTCGCTCTCCCTCTCTGCGTGGTTGCATGGCCACCCCTGTCCCGAGTTGGCTTACAGTTTTAGTGCCAGCTATGCAGAGAGACGTTAGCGGCTTCTTGGTTATAATTCCAAGAGGGAAGGAAGTTCTAATTGGCTCAGTTTTGTTAGGGTGGCCAGGAGTGTCAGAATCAGTACAATAAGCATGGCTTCTGAGGACCACTCCTTCGGGTAGGAGCAAGGTGGTAAGTGTCCCAGGAAACAGGAAGACCACTGAGAGGTGGGCAGATGGCCTACATGACAGCTGCAACCTGCGACTTTCAGCTTTCACATTTATCCTTCCAAATTTGCAATCAATTACTATATTTTTATATCCTAAGAGAATATATTTTTTGCTATTCTTAGTATCACTAATTTTGGAAATTAGGTAGATTTCTGCACAAATAACCATGATTTATATATCTTTCTTTCTAAATAAACCAGCAAAAGATAGATCAAATATTTCATCCTCTTGGTAATTATCAATTATTACAGTTCATTGAATGTTTCATTCTGACCTAGGATGTAGGTATACAACAGAACTAGAGATCAGGGGCTTAAGTTAGAACAGGAGGATAGGGGGTTCATACCCTCCTGTGGATTGATATGTTCAGTGGGAAAAGAAAAAGAAACTGACAGATTTTTTGGATAGAGTTCTATTGGAGAGTTTTGACTTCTAGAAATATCTAAGAGATTCCTAGAAAACTAAGCAGAGGCACAGTTTTCAGGAAAGGGAATATAATCAAGCATGTTACACCGCATAACTGTGAAACAGAGTTAAGTAGTCATAATAAGATAATCTCTGAGTATTGATTTAACCAACTAAAGAGATTATTGAGGAGGGGGTATAAACAGCTAAATATTCATTGTCTATAGTAGGAAGATAATAGGCTAAATTTAAAAAGTTGAGATGAAACAATACATGTATGTTATTCTGAAAGGGAGAGAGAAAAGCCAGAGGAAACATCTAGAGGAGCTGAAGGTGGGTGCTCTGTGCAGGGAATTCTGGGAGAAGGATGGAGTGAGCAGCAGCCTTCCATTTTACATCATGAGCCTTTAAGGTCTGTTTGGTTTTTAAAACTATCTACACATAAATTGTGATAAAAATTAAAATTAACATAAAAAGTGAAAAGACTGGTAAATCATGCTCAATCCTCATGATCTCCTGGCACCTTTCTTTTTGGGATTTATCTAGTATAATGTCTTTTTTTTTTAGGAAAATAATTTCTTAGGAGCTATTTGCATAAGTACAGATGTTGCAAAATTCTCCAAAAGTGTATGGCAAATTGTCCTCTCCTTTAAGGAAGATATAGAATGGGGATCATTGCTAAGGATGAAAATAACTATCATATTTAAAGTATCCTTGTATTTTATTTGTGCAGTTGTCTCATTTCCATTGTTTGAGTTTCAGTATCTTGAGAGCAAGGGTTATGTTATTCAACTTACATGGCCATGATACTAACATAATTCCTTGTATATTGTGTGCTGTCAGTTAGGTGTTTTGTTTTTTTTTTTTAATTGAAATGAGAAGTAATCAGGAGTTTTAGCAAGAGCCTCTGTATTAGGTAGGGTTCTCCAGGGAAACAGCGCCAATAGGAGATGTGTGTGTGTCTGTGTATATATGTTTGTGTGTGTGTATTTTTTCCGCACTAAATATGTCAGTCCATGGCAGGATCTGAACTCCTGACCCTCCTGTTCTGATTTAAGCCTGTTGATCTGTAGTCCTGTGGTAGCTGTATCCTAGGCCTTTTGCAGCTATACTAAAGATTTCCTTCATGTCGCCTGTGTTGAATCCCCTGTTTCCTTTTTTCTTGGTTTATTTGTGTATTTGGTATAACAAATGGTCTGGTAGCGTCTGAGAAAGAGTACAGGGAGGAAAGTGATGGGGTTGTTTTAGAATTTTGAACATCTGAAATTATCTTTATTCCATACTCAGAGCTATTTGACATTTTGCCATTATATAGAACCATTTTCTCTCATTAACTTTATTTCACCATTATCCTCTAGCAGTACCGACTAAATTCTTCTTTCTTTCTTTTTTTACATTCCAGAAGCTTTACCATTTCTATATCCCTCATTTCAGAAATTTCATGATATGCTTTTCATTAAATAATTTTTTTCTGGGAACTCAATGGGGCCTTATGTCTGTATTAATGTTTTTATATTCTGGGAAAATCTGTAAAACGCCTTCATAGAAACATCTAGATTAGTGTTTGGCCAAACAACTAGACATCATATCTAGGGAAGTTGACACATAAAATTAACCATCACAGGCAGCTGTTTGTATAACCCCCATGTTACTGTAACACTTCATCCCTGTACCTGTTGAGTACAAACCTTCACTCACTTCTAAAGAGAAAACTGATTGTCTTCTCTCACAACGTGAGAAGGAAAGCCTTCTGGTTGGGGAAAGTCACACCTGACTTCAGAAGTCCCTGGAACCTTCAATTTCACTTTTTCTCAGAGTTATGCCTGAATGAATTAACTTATTGTTGGTCTGTCCATTTACAAGTGCTCAGCTTTTACTTGTAGACATCTGTCCTTGCCTGCCGTTCCCTCTTATGTTCTTTTAAAACTTTCTTTTATTTCATTTTTTGGGATTTTGGAAGGGAAAAATTGTTCAATCATACTGAACTGAAAATGTTACCCTAGTATTCTCTGGGTTGTGATCTTTTCAGATCAAATCCTTGTAGCCATCCTTGACTCTTTTCCCCACAACTCTTGTCTCTTCTATCAAAATTAATCTTGTTGGTTTTACCTTGAAATATATCCAGAGTTTGACCACTTCTCACCACTCTCACTTATCCATCTTGGTCCAAGCCATGGTCATTTTTCTCCTGGACTATCAGAACAGCTGCCTAAACTCCCTGTTTCTCCTCTTTATGCTTCTCCAGTCACTTCTCAACATGCAGCCGAAGTGATGCTGTTCAA